GACGCCCGGGACAAGTCAGTTTTCATTTCGGGCAATCAAATAATGGTATCTTACTTGTCCGTGGGCTACTAGATAATTTCCACTTATGGTTTCAAACTGCAAATAGACTAGGATTTAATTTCATATTAAAATGTAGCCCTTAAATTCTGCAATGATAATAAAGTAGAGTTATCTTTCTTTGCTATTTATCACTTTTCAATAAATAGTCCAGTAAACGTTAACATCAAATACCATGTTGATTTATTCTTTCATCATTACATTATCATGATTATGTCATAAAATCAGGGCAAGTGGAAAATGAGTCAGGACAAGTTACTTTCTTAAAGTCACTTGCCCTGTGGCAAGTGGCTTTTTAAACAAATTTTGAACCCCTGGGCTGTATATTTGTATAGATATGGGTGCTCCCGACTCCAAGATGAATTGTCATTGTGGAATTAGGAAGGATTCCTGCGTCTCGTGAAATACTGATAATACATATATGATACACAGAATGTACAATGCATCAATACAGCCCTAGTGATGGTACAATATGTTACATGAATGACCCATAGATACAGTAGTGTACTGAAACAGCCAACAGGGATAAGTATCTAGCATGTGATGCTATTGATCCTACTGCTACACCTGAAACATCTGTCCTCACCAACATCTTTTAGCTACATCACAGACTACAGATGACCACAGTGCTACTTAACTTTGACACTGACTGCATTCAATCGCAAGGACATTATTAATCAAAACAGCATAGCCTTAGATCTAGGATTGTTACAAAGAGCACAATTTGTACTATGTGAATTAGAATTATTTTTATTATTATGATTATTGTTTATTATTGTTAACACCATGCATGTATCAGTGATGTATTGCCAGTCTTGCTAATGTATTATTACTATTAAGATTATCATTGTTGAACTTGATATGAACAATTATTTTTATCTGATGTAAAGAAGAATTAAAAAAATGTATCATTTATTAAACTCCTGTCCATAATTCTGCAAAGAGGTGGGGAGAAAAGTGGTGCACAATTGGCAATACAATACTGCACACGGTTTGCATACTCGAAACCTGTGGGCAGTGGGTTAGCATAGTGGTTAAAACTTTGGCTCATCAGGCTGAAGACCCGGGTTTGATTCCCCACATGGGTACAATGTGTGAAGCCCATTTGTGGTGTCCCCCACCGTGGTATTGCTGGAATATTGCTAACAGTGGAGTAAAGCCATACTCACTCACTTGAAACTTGTAATAAACTGATAAACATGACTGATACAGAATTCATCAGATTTCGCTTTCGGTACTGTTGTATGAAACATAAGCTTGACTTCAGCGTGCTGAATGCTACATAACACTATAGTCAAACCACACATCAACTGTAGCCATCATTGACAAAATCACACTTGTTAGTGTATATCATTACCGAATTTGAATAATATATAATTTAATTTAATTCAAATAAAACCTTTATAGATAAAGTTTTCAAAGGGTCTGGATCCGCAAATGTTAGTAGTGTTATGAGCAATCGTAAGTATACAGTTCACAATAGACTTACGAATATCTTAATACTACGAACGCTTTGTGAATTGTACCCATGGGTCTGATTCTCGATACGATCGTAGCGCTAAGAATTCGTAACTTTGGTCGTAGCCAATGTGTTAAGAATGGGCTTAAGAATTTCGTAGGGCTACGAACGTTTCGAGAATAGCTAGCCTGGTTCCTAGAAACTAAACCAGTCTGGAAATGAAAGGGAGTTTAATGCAAACTCACTGAGAAGTATACAATCTGTCTTCAGTTCCGATTGTTAGTGTCCTCATTCAGTATAAATGGGGTTTACGGGGGTGGCCAAAACATTCAGTTGGTTCCAAGCTTGGGTATCGAAAATGATGCCCTTTCTTGGAGATCCTGCCGCGGCACTTGTCTATTGTTACAGAAAGTTGCGTAAGTATCACACAGTAGAAACTATACAGTGAGGTATTAATGATAGAAATAATAAAGGACTAAACCACTAAGTAACTCAATTAGTTTGCATGAATCCCTAAACTCTTCCACTGCTAATATACTACTCAAAACAAGTTAAAGGCTGTTGGTTGCCATAGCAACCAACCATGACCGATTAATTGTAGTCACACGAAAAAACATAATCAGGTGTTCTTTACATCTCTTTGTAATATATATTTGACAGTGTTTGAAATTAAGGTTCTTGGGTCCTTCACGTTTTCTTCTGTAGAATTATGATTTAATCCAGTCGAGGAATATCTTAATCTTCATGTTTTAATAAGGGGTCGCCAAGTGGTTAAGTCAGTCAAGGCTTGAGTTCCATTCCCAACATGGGTACAATGTATGAAGCCCATTTCTGATTTCCTCCAGTATGATATTGCTGGAATATTTGCTACAAATGTTATGAAATCCCACTCACTCGCTCATTCCTGTTTTAATGTGAAATCTGTGACAGGGATTTAGACTTAACTTCAAACACTGTCAAGCATAGATGTTGTAACCATGGTAACAAGTCATGCTGGTAACTGACAATGCATTACCACTTTCAGATGCCTGCTTGACAGTGTGAAGCGTCAGACACTGTGACTATGGAAATGCCTCACTTTTACCCCCATCCCACACCTGTGTACATGTTGCAGTGTTTTGCTGTGTTTGCCCTTAACACCAGTGCATATGTGTAATGCAGTGTTACACAGTGTTACCTGTATTTTGGATGGTGCATCTGTGGGTCTGTTACCTGTGTTGTTATGGCCTTGTTATGGCATTGTAATGCTGTTTTTCCTGATCCCTGGGCTGTGTCTGTTGCACACAATGTTTTCCCCATTTCCATGTTTCAGTGCTATTTTTTATAAAGTTGTCCTTTCTTGTATTTTATTAAAACAGTACATTTCCTCAGTATTTTATTCATCTCTCTCACTCATGCACAAATGTATCATTCATTTAACATAGAATTGTAATCAAATTAAACATATTTGAAGTACTGAGATTGATACCTACACATGTATATCATGTATTAGCCTATATTTATGAAACCTTAATATTAATTATTTCACAAACATTCAGTACCATGTGTTGCTGATGTGACTACCACTTTGTGTGACATTAAGAATAAGTAAATGATTGGTGTTAATTTAATCCCACAAAGTGTTCGTAAGGCCTAAAAAACCCGTTGTGGTTCTGATTACCCGACCAACCCTTGAATTCTGGTGCCGACCCTATTTTTTTAAGCGGTATGAATAAAATAAGCTTTCAGATACCATTGTTTTTGGCACCAATGGACATTGGCCATTCTGATGGCCGCAAGCTTGATTGAATAAACAATTAAAAATTGTTAATTTGTGTTTTTAGTTTGTACTTTACTTCTAAAAAAAATGTTAAAAAATATATAAAATCCTACCTATCTACCCTCAATTTTAAAGAGGTGTAATCAGAACCACAACATATTTTTAATTTGGGATAACGTTACAACCTGTTGTAACCACATACACTATCATAGACATACGAATGTTGTTATGTTACAAGCGCTTCGTGAATCAGGGGCCTAGTGGTTAAAGCATTGGCTCGCCATGCCGAAGACCCGGGGTTCGAATCCCCACATGGGTACAATGTGTGAAGCCCATTTCTGGTGTCCCCCGCCGTGATGTTGCTGGAATATTGCTAAAAGCGGCGTAAAACCAAACTCAGTCGGTCAGTCAGTCGTGAATCAGGATCCAAGTCGCTTCTCCAGGCTCTGCTGGTTTGTCCACAGACATCCTTGCTTGATGGCAGACCTTCTTGCTTAATGACACTAATTAAGGTCAACTGACTTTATTGTGGCCCCTATTTGCTACAGGATATGCACCTGTTATGTATTCAGTGTATTCTTGTTGACATAGCAGGAAGACTGTTACAGGCCTTTGCTGCTGCACATTTTGTTATATCCTCAGCCATATCAAACTTCCACAAGTGTAAGTGTTCTGCAAATGTCACACACTGTATTGGTAGTCAGCTAGCTGGTCATCGGCCAGTACAGCTTATGCCGGGACATTTTACTACGTCACCTGGCTCCAAATATGTCATCCTCTCTGTCATACATGATGACAGCAGCTTGGTTCTCTTGATGTCCTAGTATGAAGCCCATTTCTGGTGTCCCCCGCTGTGATATTGCTGGAATATTGCTAAAACGGTGTAAAACCGTACTCAGTCAGTGATGTCCTATTACAAAGATTGAAGTGGAAAAAACAAAAACAAACTAACCCCAAAACAGAAAATGCCCCCCAAAATCAAATTCACAAGTGCATGATTTCTCATAATGTATCGATTTGTGAAATGATCTACATAAATCTGTCAGAAAATTGAATGAAAACATCATCATTGGTACCTTTTTTCTTCCTACCAGTTGAGCACAGCATCTCTCCAACATATCTGATACCCTTTCAACCTCCCACTTTTTTTTAACAACTTTAACCAGTGTGATGTTTCCATGGGCAGGGGATTTATTACTTTTACAGTATTCCTCACTTGATCACAATCTCTCCTATTTTGAAAATTCAGAAATAATTATTTCTATTTGGTATGTCGTTTCATCATGTTACAGCAATGAATTTTGAGATTTCAGTAAAACATGTAAGAGTCGTATTTTAAGTACTTATTGAAGGTTAAGCTCAAGGACTAATTACACTGAATTATCATGTACATGTAAGCCAGATGTTGTTTAGCTGTACCAGATAACCAATCATTGGCTCTTGATTGCACTCTATAATGTTTCTTGATTCCATGGTAACCAAGAACGTCTGGCAGATTGCTTGATTTGTCCACAATATTGACCTAGTACCGAATGTACACCTAGTACACCAGCAAGACAAGGAAGGTGTTATTAAAGTAGGCTTTTGTTTGCCAACAGTTTATTGATTGCCAGCGTCTAGGCACAGACAGTGGGCAACTGTGACACAGTAATTGACCCATCTGTACATGATGGTGATATTGTAAGATTACAATTAATGGAAAAATCAAATTACTTGTGTTGGCAGATGAGGAAGATGAGGATCTGTCTGTAGAGGAGCCTTTAGAGGAAATTGAACTCACACCAGAGGAGAAAGAAGGTAAGGGGAAGTAACTGTTTGTATATATACTCATTGAAACGAATAAGGGAAAACATGAAAGTACAAGTGTTCCTCGTTAGGATGAGAAAGCCACAATAACTCGGTGTGCCTAGTGGCAGCAAGAGTTGTATACTCCCCAGGGAGTTGAGATTGATAATACGATGTGCTGTTGAGATTGACATCCAATGATCGAGGGAAAAAATACCTGCGCCTTGAACATGCACTAGTTGCATGGATATGTGCGCTATATATATAAATATCCTATCCTTTATTTTTTTCCAGATTATTACCCACAGTGCAATATAGAGCATAAGAAACTCGGAAAAGAGTATGGGAACACTTGCACTTCAGTGTGTTCCTTTATTTGTTTCCATGAGTATATGTCTACATGTCTGTTTTTTCCCTGTCATGCATGTGTTATATAACAGTGTGTTTACCACACCAACGATCTGTTGATCATCCGGGGTAGAACTGTCTGGTTAGCTGTGCTTGTAAGCCAGGTGATCATGCTTTATGATTTCTCTCCAAATCAGTTTTATTTCTTGGAATCTGACTACACATTTTGCAGACAACTGTGATAGCAGACTATTTTATGCTTCAGCATTTAGTTGTGGCATGAAATTGAACTCAAGATAAATATTAAAGACATATACATAAAACTTCCTCTTGTATTTGTTCAGCGGACGAAATATACAGACAAGGGCAAGCTTTGATCAACGGCACATTCTCAAAAGACTACACAAGGTGAGATAATGCTTCAGCATCCATAAATTATGATACACAAGTCTTGCTACATTATTGTTGTGGGATTTGGGCTCCAAACCAGATGTTTTTTGTCCATATATCTTGTGCATCCTTGTACATGGGCGTCATAAACTGATTGTAATGACACTAATATACTGTCAAATCCTAGGGTAGGCTTATGAAAAGATAATCTTCAAACAATTTCCCTGACCTGACAAATCTGATTTCAGAGCATACATCCATTTCCTGAAAGCTGCTGAGAAAAACCACACCAAGTCACTGGAGCAGGTCGCCTTTGGCCATCTGTTTGGGGACTACCTGCCTCACAATCTGTCCCGATCCAAGGAGATATTCGAAGACCTGTCTAAGAGGGGGTCTCCTACGGGACAACTGGTATGTCGAGGTGGTCTCCACAGAGGATTTGTGTTCCTCTGGGAAATGTTGATGTTTCTGTCTGTAACATTAATATATTATTTATGTCCTGAAAAAAGGACTATTCAAGTCAGACTATACACATACATTGGTATATGTGGGGCGTGGTGGGCAAGGAATCTAAGGCGCCAGGCTAGTGATCCAGTGAGCTTGAGTTGTCGGGACCGAGCCCACCTGTGACTGAGTGTAAAAACCTTAGAGTCAACTTTGTGTGCAGACTCTTTCAGTGTTGTCAAAACCCCTAGTGTACAGTACACAAGCTTGTGCACTTAAAAGAACCCACAAATCCGTTGGTATATGACCAGATGGTGGCCACATGAATATGTGTAAACACCTAGTTGTGGGTACAGCAGTGTGCAGTAAACTTGGACAAAGTACTAGTTTGCGTGTTTGAGAGTGGATATGTGCGCTATAGAAATATCCTATAGTAATAAATAATAATAGTATATATCTAATTTAGACACCTTGATATGAGTTTATTGCATATACTAGTAGCAAGAAATATAGGAACACATTGCAGTTTTCTTTTGCTAAATGTTTTCTCATTCGTAGCCTCTGTGTTTGTTTGTGATAATAACACTTCACTCACTCTGCTATAGTTTGTTTTGATTAATGACCCGTGAAGATCCGGGGTAGAGTAGGTCTTCAGCAACCCATGCTTGCCACAAAAGGCGACTATGCTTGTCGTATGAGGCGACTAATGGGATCGGGTGGTCAGGCTCGCTGACTTGGTTGACACATGTCATCGGTTCCCAATTGCGCAGATCGATGCTCATTCTGTTGATCACTGGATTGTCTGGTCCAGACTCGATTATTTACAGACCGCCGCCATATAGCTGGAATATTGCTGAATGCGGCGTAAAACTAAACTCATTCACTCACTCACTCACTGTTTTGATTAATTACAACCTAGAATGAGGAAACTAGATGAGACTGATGGGATACTGAAATGTTGAACAACAAACTAAATGTTCCACATGCTGTCCATCATATTTGACACTTCTTTTCCAATCTGCTCCTTCAGGGTCTTGGATTCATGTACAGTTCGGGACTTGGTGTCAATTCGACTCAGCGAGGGTAGGTGTACAGACAATGCATACAGATACATAAAAATCTGGTAGTCCATGAGAAGATGAGCTCTACATTACTGGTGGGGATCAGTCTGTGAGGTGAGGTGAGGTGAAATTGGGTTTTAGGTCGTGCTTGAGAATATTTTGCTCATATGACGACGTGCATGCGTGTGTATGTATGTGTATGTGCGGCTGCTTGTACTAGCCCAGACTTTAGCTGGTTTTATAGTGCTAGCCCACTGAGATACCATGCCGCAGTGAAGCATGAATACCCCACTCAGACACATTATACTGACTCCGAGCCGACCAGTCCTTGTTGTACCCATTAATGCCGAGCGCCAGACAGGGACCAACAAGTACCATATTTTAACGTCTTTTGGTTTGACGCGGTCGGGGATCAGTCTGTACTTTAGTGGGGTAGTTTAGTGGAAATCAGCAAGTGCTACCATATTTACTGCAGTGAACTCCTGCTCTAAATGTGGTCATTGAACAACATTGAGATGAATATGTTTGCAATGTTTGCAGGCAGAGCATTTGTTTGTATTGCTTGATCTCAGACAACAATTTTATCCCCCTTTGTGAAGTCTCTGGGTGCCATTGGCATCTATAATGGCAACTGCACTTTTTCCCCCTCCAAACTTTATTGCTTGGCATGAGTCACTTGTCTGAAATGTCTCTCGACTAGTTGATATATCTTGTTGTATGTCTTGTTGCTAAGCGACACTGAAAGATATCCATGATCTGTTCATTTTGAAATTTGATAACGTGTGATTTCATTTAACTTGACATAAATTATCAGCTTTTCGTGAGAAACCGTGCTTATCACCTTAACGTCAGAAACCTAAACTTGACAGCATTCAGTTTTGAATATGACTGTGATAATTAAAAGAGGTCTGTTATTGAGTTCCTGCAGGTGATAAAACAATTAGCAGTATCTTTAAAATTAGATGTCTGTTGATACATAGGGGGCAATTTCTTACATTTATTATGTATTTTCACCATGTTAATGATTTAGATTCTTAGTTGATTGAAAGCACTTGGTACAGACTGGAGCTGGATTTAATATCAGTCTTCTTGCTTATTCAGTCGCTGATCTACTTTACTTTCGGAGCTCTTGGAGGGGACCCAATGGCACAGATGGCAATGGTGAGATGATCCGCTCATGATCTTACATCATTTCACTTTGTGTTTTCAATTTATTTAGCAGGTTTTGGACCATGGAATAATTTTATGGAAATGATCCCACTTAAGGCTTTACTTATTCCACCTTCCATACTTTGTCTGTCATTTTATTATTATCCCCCGCCACACATTTAGTGCGAAGCGGGGGATATAGTATTAGGCTTGGAATATGTTAAGAATCAATGGCTAGATTCTTTTCATAATTGGTACCTAGGTTCATCACAGTATAAGAAAGGTCCCAATCAGGTTTGGTGACCTTAATTTGGTGACTTTGACCTTAATTTCAAGGTCACAAGGGGACTTTAACGTTTTACCCTTGTCAGCGAGATATCTCAAGATTCACTAGATTTTCTTCATATTAAACACCAAGCTTTATCTAGGGAAGGTGCAGGGCCCAGTTGATTTTGGTGACCTTCATTTAATTTTCACGGTCATGGCGACACTTTGAAGATTTCAGCATATTAACCTACATGTTATGCTTGTCAGCAAGATACCCTTTAGAACCATTCACTTGATTTTCTTCATATGTGACACCAAGCTTCATCCAGGGAATGCACAGGGCCCAGTTGATTTTGGTGACCTTCACTTAATTTTCAAGGTCACAGTGACGCTTTGAAGATTTCAGTGTGTTAACCTGCATGTTAAGATGGTCAGCAAGATATCTCGAGAACCATTGACTGGACTTTCTTCATATTTGACACCAAGCTTCATCTAGGGAAAGTGCAAGGCCCAGTTGATTTTGGTGACCTTCACATAATTTTCAAGGTCACTGGGGCACTTTGAAGATTTCAGCATGTTAACCTGATGTCACTGGATTTTCTTCATAGGCTTTCAAGACTTCCCTTGAATTTTTTTCAATAAGCAATTTCTTTAGTACCATTTTTGCATATTTCATACACTATGACATTCATGTCAAGGTCAAAGTCAGTCTTGAAAAATATAGATCAAGATATCAAGTGAGGTTGACTGGTCATGTTTTTGTTGACATTTAACTTCATCTTAATAAACTTTCATTACTTTTTAAGTTTGATTTGATAATTTGCGGCAGTGGAATTTTGGTCTGATATGTCCTAAACACTTAGCATATGAACAAGTTAATGGAATCAATAGTGTCCTTGTCAAAATGTTTAAAGTATTTTGCTTATCTCACCAAAGATCCAGATTTGTTTCATAACATGGGTAAAATGTGTGAAGCTGATGTCTTGTGTCCAGGATATGATATTGGAACATCGCAAAATGTATCATGAAACTCTAATTGCTCGCTCCTTTTTAGAGTTAATCAAATTTAGGTATTATTTACATTACCATTTTAGAGTAACTTTGATAAACTGTATAATGGCTTGGTTTGATGTGATGTTAATGTATATCGATGTGTGTTCATGTGTATTGATGTGTGTTTATATGTGCAGGGTTATCGCTACTGGGCAGGTGTTGGAGTGGAGGCCAAATGTGAGTCAGCCCTCACCCACTACAAGAAGGTAGCCGGCACAGGTGAGTCCCAGCATATTGCCTAAGAAAGAATGTTTGCTCATTTATTTCTTGGAAATACACGTAATTTGACAAATATTGATACAATGTGTCTCTTGTTTCTTTACCTCCTACTATACAACATATTTGTTGACTTGGCACCATACACGAGAAAGTGCCGGTGGGGTAGCTTAGTGGTTAAAGCGTTCGCTCGTCATGCTGAAAACCCGGGTTCGATTCCCCACATGGGTACTATGTGTGAAGCCCATTTCTGGTGTTCCCCCACTCTGATATTGCTGAAATATTGCTAAAAGCGGCGTAAAACTAAACTCACTCACTCACTCAATACACCAAATAGCAGTTTTACTATGCACAAAACAAATACAGTATTTCCTGGCCTTCATTCCATGTACTCTTCCCCCATGGATTGTTTATCATAAGATCAATCAATATATTATTCATGTATAGTCCTCCATCAAATAGCTGACATGTTTTTGAGTGCAGAGTTTAACGATGAAGAAACTGATCCTGTTTTGTTGTGTTGACAGTGGCCGACAGTGTGTCCCTGTCGGGCGGCCCCACAGTGCAGCGTGTCCGTCTCCAGGAGGAGAGTGAGAGTCAGACAGGCAACAGCCCCCTCCTGGATGATGACCTCTTGCAGTACTACCACTTCCTGGCTGACAAGGGGGACGTCCAGGCACAGGTCAGTCTTTAGTCCTAAATACTCCTGGGGGACCCTGGAACAGATCTCAAGTACATAGAGCCTGAGTTCTTCGTCTGTCTTTAGTTGCAAATATGCTATGGGGTTTCTGAGGTATCAAGAATTGTCGTATATTTTTTTAAAGCTGACAGGAATTATATGTTATTGTCATTGCAGTGTAGTGTCCCTGTGCTGTTTTTTACTGTACTGTAACATCCTCATGGTATACACTATCTGTACAGTATTGTAGCATCCCTATGTCGTACACCATCTGTACAATGCTGTACTTATTTCAGGTGGTTCTAGGACAGCTGTACTACCAGGGAGGTCGAGGAGTGGCCATCAACCATGAGGTAAGCCAATCCAACAGTTTTCATAGTTGCATCACATAGTACAGTTATGTGGATTTGTCTGCTTTGTCATGCACCATAATTTCTTCAGGATTTTACCAAATCAAATTTCCTGAAAACAGGCTGTCACAATTCAGTAAGACAGCATCCTACCCCGAGTAAGTAGCTCAGTATGTCCCATCCAGGGCTCCAGATAATTTTTGAACACCAGGAGTACGTAGTCCTTATTTTTTCAATATAGGAGTACTCGAAAACCTTAAGCCTACATTTAGAGTACTGAATGGAATTTAATGGAGTATCAGTAACCTTGTGTTTCGTTTCATATATGCACCACGACATTGCTAGTCTTGTGTAAACAGGTCAATATACAATAAAACAATACTTTTTTCAGATAAATACGTCTGTAAATGATTCTAAGACCGTACACCATTGCCGTGGTGCGTATCTGCTACGTTTAATAAATTATTTCCTACCGTATCGTGCAAATTGTTCATCCGTACATACGCCGATACGTCCCTTATCTGGAGCCCTGCCATCTATGGTTATATTCACATCTCTATCTCTGTCTCCGCAGCAAGCCCTCCAGTATTTCCTGATGGCTGCTGAGTCTGGGAATGCCAACGCTCTAGCCTACCTGGGCAAGGTATGTCAACCAACAAACACTTGTCCTTTATAGTGGAATTGTTAAAGACTGAAAGAATCACTTGTTCCACTCTGTTATGGGAGTTTGCAGTTTATAAGATATAAATGATAAGATATTCATCCAATTACTCTGAGTAAGTTCTAGCCATTGCAGACTTGCAAAACATTATGATGTTGTAATAGTTGGGTTTTTTGAGAATGTGATAATGCTTGGATGCTTGTCCGGCACCCTTGTAATTTTTGTAATCTTGCAACTGTAATCGTAATATTTGTAATATTTTGCTCAATTTATATTACACATACAATATCATGGAGATCAAATAGTTATGTACCACTGACATGCAGAATTCTTGAGAAATGAGAGCTATGGTTTTAATTCACAAAGTGTTTTTTACCCCACTGGTTACTCCATAGTTCGAGTTAGGTTTGTCATCTCTGCCATTGTTGACAAGTTCTTCATATCATGAGATCACAGTTTGAGGGTATTAAGCCATTGTTGATGAGTGTTTGGTATTGTGTGTACTCTGGTAATACCAGACAGTATGTAATCCCAGTAGTAGCATATATTCCCTGTGGAGGGGTATTGAGCTATTGTTGACAAGTACTTGACAGTATGTGATCACAGTACTGGGATATTGAACTATTGTTGACTTGAACTAGACAGTATGTGATCCCAGTAGTAGTATATGAGCCCAGTATTGAAATTGTTCGAGCCATTGATGATAAGCACTAGACAGTATGTGATCCCAGTACTGGGATATTGAATTATTGTTGACTTGTCCTAGACAGTATGTGATCCCAGTAGTAGTATATGAGCCCAGTATTGAAATTGTTCGAGCCATTGTTGATAAGTAGTAGACAGTATGTGATCCCAGTAGTAGTATATGACCCCAGTATTGAAATTGTTCGAGCCATTGATGACAAGTAGTAGACAGTATGTGATCCCAATACTAGTATATGAGCCCAGTATTGAAATTGTTCGACTTTTCATTGATGATAAGTAGAACAGTATGTGATCCCAGTAGTAGAGCCATTTGAGCCATTGTTGATAAGTAGTAGACAGTATGTGATCCCAGTAGTAGTATATGACCCCAGTATTGAAATTGTTTGAGCCATTGTTGTTTAGTAGTAGGCAGTATGTGATCCCAGTACTTGTATATGATCCTTGTCGTGTTCCACAGATGTACACAGAAGGGAGCCCGGTGGTGACACAGAACAACATGACAGCCTTCCACTACTTCAAGAACGCTGCAGACAAGGTAATGCCTGATTAGAATTTGTTATAAACACAATGAAATACCCAAACATATTGTCAACAGAACAAGCCATTGGGTTTCCCCTTGCTATCACTTTGTCTTCTTGAGATGACAAATTGGATCATATGATGACTGTTTGATTACATGTCATTTAGTAACAGTGGAGTGGCATTGTTCAGAATATATACCACTGTTATTTTTGCGCAAGTCTTGATTATTTACAAGTTGCTGTGGCATTTACAAATAATATGGTGACATTTATTTCATGATTAACAGTAACTAATAAGGTTTTCACTCCTTCCACATTCATTTAGATATGATCGATCTTTCGGATAATTATTAAGGTTTCTAACTTATAATTAGATTCATAATGCAGTAGTAAACAATGGCGTGCATTCTATGTTGACAAATGTACATGCAGAGTCTATTTTAGACTTCGCCATTGCGCCATTGACGCATGTTAGTAAAAAATGACGCAGAATTCCTTGACTTGGTGGGTCCGGTTGGCGCACCATAAAAATAAAACGACTCGTAACAATCATGCATAAGCCTGCATAGCCAATATTTTTAACTTGTTTTCACATTTTCTAGCGTTCAATCAGCATTCGTTATAATATGCGCGCTTTCCAACATCCAGTGCGGCGCCTAAATCAATGCATGGAGCTTATACGTAGCTTATTCAAGTCATGTTGTGTGTCTATACATAAGAGTTATACCCCTTAGACTTCAATTCCTGTATCGAAGGGCGGTAACTGAATTTGAAGGTAATTATTTGAATCAAAATGCCATGGGCAAAATCGTCTGTTGTTGTGAAGCGACAGTCGCGAATACTTGAGTTTTTCCAAACAAAAAGATCAAAAAGTGACAGAGAAGATTAGGGAACAGTTGTGGGGTCAAATGGTGGCAGCTGTAATTCAGAAATTGCAACGAAAACATTGAATGTCAATGACACAATCACTGTACGCGTAGTGGATGTTGAAACTGAGAGCAAGACATCCCAGTCATGTTCTGACCAAACAAAATGGCAAGGTTTATATCTGTGGCTTTTGTTCCGTGAAAGTCAAAATAAGTCTACGAATAAAAATGAAAACAGACTGCCACTGAGATATAAAGTTACAACATAATAACTTTGAGGGTCATCTCATTAAATTAACAGTGTTTGGATTAACAGTTATATAATACAACTGAACAGCTGTAATTTGAATGATAAACTCATTGAAATTACTGAGTGAATAAATTGTCTCCCTTTTTTTCTGATGACCCACCTACAAAGGCAAATGTCCCACTAGTTTCATTACCCATGGGCCCACTTCATATGAAATGTAAAGTAAACACGTGCACTGTACAGAATCTGTTAAATTTTATGACAAAAAAACATGTATATTCCAAGCATGTCAAAAATGTTATACAGAATTGATGAAATCAAATCATTGACTTGATCTTTACATATTGACATGTCTCTCAAGATCTTTAATGTCCGCCTGGAGAGCGGAAGGAAGCGGGTTCGATCCCCGACCACGTCATACCAAAAGACGTTAAAATATGGTACTTGTTGGTCCCTGCCTGGCGCTCGGCATTAATGGGTACAACAAGGACTGGTCGGCTCGGAGTCAGTATACTGTGTCTGAGTGGGGTATTCATGCTTCACTGCGGCATGGTATCTCAGTGGGCTAGCACTATAAAACCAGTTTAAGTCTGGGCTAGTACAAGCAGCCGCACAGACATACACATACACACGCATGCACGTCGTCATATGAGCAAAATATTCTCAAGCACGATGTAAACCCCAATTTCACCTCACCTCAACTCATGATCTTTACATATTGACATGTCTCTCATGATCTTTGCATATTGACATGTCTCTCATGATCTTTGCATATTGACATGTCTCTCATGATCTTTACATATCGACATGTCACTCATGATCTTTACATATCGACATGTCTCTCATGATCTTTACATATTGACATGTCACTCATGATCTTTACATATTGACATGTCACTCATGATCTTTACATATCGACATGTCACTCATGATCTTTACATATCAACATGTCTCTCATGATCTTTACATATCGACATGTCACTCATGATCTTTACATATTGACATGTCTCTCATGATCTTTGCATATTGACATGTCTCTCATGATCTTTACATATCGACATGTCTCTCATGATCTTTACATATCGACATGTCTCTCATGATCTTTACATAATGACATGTCTCTTGATCTTTATGTCATGTCTCTCATGATCTTTACATATTGACATGTCTCTCATGATCTTTACATTGACATGTCTCTCATGATCATTGACATGTCACTCATGATCTTTGCATATTGACATGTCTCTCATGATCTGCATTGCATATCTTTGATATTGACATGTCTCTCATGATCTTTGCATATTGACATGTCTCTCATGATCTTTACATATGACATGTCTCTCATGATCTTTACATATCGACATGTCTCTCATGATCTTTACATATCGACATGTCTCTCATGATCTTTACATATCGACATGTCTCTCATGGGGGTCATGGGTTTGAAAACCCAATAGGTCCACAGCTACCTATGCTGGTTGGGGGATGGGTCCATATGGACCGGGTGTTTAGACTTTAGTTGACTTGGTTGATTGCATGTAAGTTTACCATGATGGTGTGGATCACTACTCACAATGTTGGTCACTGGATTGCTTGGTCCAGGAATCAGTACCTGCAGGCATCCATCTCATAGTTTGAACACTGTGGCATTTAACGACAATGAACAAACAAACACATGTACCAGGTTGTGGGAGAGGAGTTCTGTTGGAGTTAATGCTGAACATTCACTGGAGCTATTTGTTTTACAGGGTAACCCAGTAGGGCAGACTGGCCTTGGGATGATGTACATGAATGGCATGGGAGTGGACAAGGTAAGAGACAGCTCTCCTAACCTAGTGCTAGCTGGTTGATTCTGATCCCCCTAATACTGACTGGATTATGAATCATGTGGATCAGCTGATATGTTTTATGAAAGCATGTTAGGATACATTTTATTGATGTTTATTTTTTAAATCAGCTATGAAAGTTTAGGGGGTTGATATGATAGAAGACCTCATTGTCCCAAGGACAACCCTTTATGTTAATTTTGGATACAGATGTTTGGGATTGTACTAAATTATTTTTAGTTCTTCAGGTCAACAAAACCTACTCATTGTATGATTTTGAAATCTTAGATGAAATGTTTGTAATAACATTACATGTTATATATAAAGAAGCCTTGACAGACAGTATTTGACAAGTGTGAGTCTTCTGCAGGACTTGACAAAGGCCGTGAGATTCTTCACCATGGCAGCTGACCAGGGCTGGGTGGATGGACAGCTGCAGCTAGGGATTATGCACTTCAGTAAGTTGATGACACCCCATAGTGGGGCACAATAGGTCCTCTGTGCCAAAGTTTTGTTGTGTGAGGTCACAGTGAGCAGGGATACTCAGAGGACCTTCTGTAATACATTTAGGGGGTGGGACTTTAACAATGGGGCCTGTGTGGAGCATACAGCATACAACATCCCCAGTGCTCCAGACTTGTTGTTAGGTCACAGTGAGCAGGGATACTCAGAGGACCTTCTGTAATACATTTAGGGGGTGGGACTTTAACAATGGGGCCTGTGTGGAGCATACAACATCCCCAGTGCTCCAGACTTGTTGTTAGGTCACAGTGAGCAGGGATACTCAGAGGACCTTCTGTAATACATTTAGGGGGTGGGACTTTAACAATGGGGCCTGTGTGGAGCATACAACATCCCCAGTGCTCCAGACTTGTTGTTAGGTCACAGTGAGCAGGGATACTCAGAGGACCTTCTGTAATACATTTAGGGGGTGGGACTTTAACAATGGGGCCTGTGTGGAGCATACAACATCCCCAGTGCTCCAGACTTGTTGTTAGGTCACAGTGAGCAGGGATACTCAGAGGACCTTCTGTAATACATTTAGGGGGTGGGACTTTAACAATGGGGCCTGTGTGGAGCATACAATATCCCCAGTGCTCCAGACTTGTTGTTAGGTCACAGTGAGCAGGGTTGTCCAGATTACTCTCTGTAATACGATCCCCGACCGCGTCATACCGAAAGATGTTAACATATGGTACTTGTTGGTCCCTGCCTGGCGCTCCGCATTAATGGGTGCAACAAGGACTGGTCGGCTCGGAGTCAGTATAATGTGTCTGAGTAGGGTATCCATGCTTCACTGCGGCATGGTATCTCAGTGGGCTAGCACTATAAAACCAGCTTAAGTCTGGGCTAGTACAAGCAGCCGCACATACACACACACACACGCATGCACATCGTCATATGAGCAAAATATTCTCAAGCACGGCGTTAAATCCAATTTCACCTCACCTCACCTCACCTCTCTGTAATACATTTAGGGCTTGGGACATTAACACCTGGGTCCCAGGCTGGCAACATGTCACTCACTTGACTTGACTTGAAGAACCTTGAAATGTGCATAAAAACTCTGTTGTCAATAAAAGAATGGTATTTCAATGTTATTGGTAAACTGAAGAGAATCAATATCTGACTCTATGACACTGTATATTCGTCATCATATACAAGAGCAAGGATTATTGTTAAGTCTGTAGACCAATGGTTTGACTGACAAGATAGCGGGTTAGACTGCACTTGCAAAAGTACTAGTAATTGTGGCCACTCTGCTGTGATGTACATGCTATATGTACAGCACAAACATTCACTCAACTGAGTAACAGGGGCCTCATGAGGAAACGTACATGTGGCATGACGGGGCGTTGGGGTAGCTTAGTGGTTAAAGCGTTTGCTCATCACACCGAAGACCGGGTTCGATTCCCAACATTGGTACAATGTGTGAAGCCCATTTCCGGTGTCCCCCGCCGTGATGTTGCTGGAATATTGCTAAAAGCGGCGTAAAACTATACTCACTCACTCACATGTGGCATGATCAAAGGGAGATTACTGTGGAATACACACATACATTTTATGTTGTTTCTAAAGAATGTGCTTTAGGCACAGTGAAGTCCTAGAACACTCTATAAAAATCTATTCCTAATCATTTGACATGGACCTTAGAAAATTTGCAGGTGGTTTGGGAGTGAGACGAGTCTACAAGCTGGCTGTGAAGTATTTCATGGCTGTCTGTGTGTTTGCAGGTGGTTTGGGAGTGAGACGAGACTACAAGCTGGCCGTGAAGTATTTCAACCTGGCATCACAAGGTGGCCATGTGCTGGCTTACTACAACCTGGCACAGATGCATGCTACAGGAACAGGAGTACTGCGGAACTGCCACACAGCTGTAGAGGTGAGTCTTAGAATGCTGACCTGTGAAGATCCGGGACAGAATTGGTCTTCAGCAACCCATGCTTGTTGTAAGGGACGACTAACGTTATCGGGTGGTCAGGCTCGCTGATATGGCTGACACATGTCATCGTATCCCAATTATGCGATCGAAGCTCATGCTATTGTTCACTGGATTGTCTGGTCCAGACTCGATTATTAACGGACTGCCACCATATAGCTGGAATATTGCTGAGTGCTCGTTAAACAGTAAATATACAAACAAACAAGATCATAGAATACAGACTTACTCTACTGACCCAGGATTTAGATGGTATCTAAGCAGATAAGTTATTGATATATTGATCATTACCTCTGTGGAACATGTGGTATGTGACATTAAGGGGAATGCATGTATGATTGCAGCTGTTTAAGAATGTTGCTGAGAGAGGCCGATGGTCGGAGATGTTGATGGATGCTCATCGCATGTACAAGGAAGGACAAGTAGATGCTGCTCTCATTAAATACACCTTCCTCGCAGAACTCGGATATGAAGTAGCACAGTCCAATGTCGCTTACATTCTCGATAATGGTAAGTGGAAAATATAAGACATTTTATTGTTTAATTGGTAAATTGGCTCAACAACTCTTAGTCTCTGGGTGGAGTTTACTTTTCAGCAATGTCATGCTTATGTTATAACCAACCAATGAGGTGATCAGATGCAGAACTGGATTCCTTAATTTTAAAAGGGGAGGGGAGTTCAGGGAAAGAGTTGTTTCAAGGAGTGGGTCGGGTCATGGGTGCTTACAACTCAGGTCAGCAAGTGAACAAAGCCATACTTGATTGACTGACACAAGGTAACTTGTTAATTGTCTAAAAAATGGTGTTTTTCCCATCCTGGATATAACAGTGATTAACAAGCAACAGAACAAGGGAGAGTATGTTGTTGGGATGTTAGGTCCTGTTACTCCTGATGTAGTAGTATTACAACAAGCTGCATCTGTCTGAGAGCACAGCACAAAACATAACCAGCACATGTATATGAAGAGAACAGTTTGTACAATTTTCACTTTCTACTGAAGGACTGTGAAATTTGGGAGTACATGCAGCTCAAGCACCATTGTAGTATCCAGTGTATTGGTTGTAGTTTTTGCAGGATATAATTGTACTGCACGTGACACAAATGACAAAACCCATGGGATTGGAACCTTTAGTTGTGCATGAATGATTTCTGGAGGCAATTATTACATGGATGGATAACCACTATGTAATTCTCTGCCGCTGCAGTAAAGCTGACTTAAGTGTACACTAGCATTCCTGTCTTTACTATTGTGCTTCTTCCACTGCCTGTACTCAAGGGATGTTGTTTCCAGGTGAGAGTAAGCTGTTCGAGGATTTCGAGGTGCACCAGAGGGCGCTGTTGCAGTACACACGGGCAGCATCTCAAGGTAGTGCGGTCATCAGTGTATCTTGACAAATGCTTGCTGCTTTTGAGGTCTTTTAGTGATCTGTTAGAGACTACAGTTTGTCTGGACATATTTATCTTGTTTGTAATATTGACACTGAAATGACAGGCTGTTATGATATAGCTGGTGTATTGCTTGGGCTTGTGCAGGCATGGAAAGTCTTAAATTGCCCAAACCTATTCTGCTCTTCAATAAAACACCTTAAGATAAGTGTAATATTTCATACTTTGAAAAATGTGGTTCGGACTTGTTAAATACTGTAGTCAGTAATCGCAGGGTTATCTCCCTTCCAGTGGCTGAATGCATTGCCCCTGACTGATAATTTCAATCTGTATTCTATATGCCCCAAACTGCTGGATTTATCTAAGAACACAGACTGAAACCATAGCGTCTGTCTTGCAGGTTCCACATGGGCGCGGGTGAAGATGGGGGACTACCACTACTATGGGTTTGGGACAGACATCGACTATGAGTCGGCAGCCAACCACTACCGCATGGCCTCGGAGCAACAGCACAATGCACAGGCCATGTTCAACCTGGGCTACATGCACGAGAGAGGCCTTGGACTCCGCCAGGTACTGTACCCTTCAGTGTCCATCTTGAGGAAACATTAGACACTTGACAGATGGAAAGGTTCATATCAATTACTGGTATATGTACAGCATACATGTTCAGATTTCATGTATGATCTCTCTGAAATACAGATTAAGTCATGGTCTGGATATCCAAGTGTTTTACTGGAATCTTACAGAAAACTCTCACAGGAGCCTAGGTGGTAAAGATATGTTGGTAAAGATTCGCCGACTGATTTGTTACAGCTGTGTGCTTTTCGTATGGTACACATATTTATTGTAATGTATTGATTCCAAAGTTGAAATGCAAAGGCAAAGCAGGAAGTCAGTATGTACAGAAATAATGAGTATAATAGCTGTACAAGATAAATGTACAACTGACTAATAATAACACACACAGGATTAGGTTTTTAGTCATAAGAGTGAGACAGGTGGCTGCAGCAATATATGACAGGTCTCAATACACAAGGCACTGCACTCTCTTAACAGTTAAATGTATGTGGTTCATAAATCCAGGTAATGGTATGTGAAGCAAAATGAAAGCACTACTTTTAAATACCAAGGGAAGTCACTCTACATCGAGGTACTATGAGGTTTCACATTGCAGAATTTGGGTAGGTGAGGTAATGCAAATGTCTGGATAAACAATGTTTGACTGTACGCCACCAGAACAATTGAAATATAATGTTGCCAATGGTTGATTGATTGTACTTCAGGATGTACATTTGGCAAAACGCTTCTATGACCTGGCAGCAGAGACGAGCATGGACGCCCAGGTTCCAGTAACCCTGGCACTGGTCAAACTTGGACTCTTCTATGGCTTTGATGTGTTCAACAAAGAGGTGAGAATACCGTGTGGATTGAATCCATTAATTCACTAGGGTTTATGAACATCAAGATTTATGTGATATACATTTGGTTACATTCCTTCTGTTATCAGGGTAAAAGCAAACTCACTCACTCATTTCTATTATTAGCTGGGGTAGCCTAGTGGTTAAAGCATTTTCTCGTCACACCGAAGCCCCGGGTTTGATATTTCCCACATTTGATATTTCTGGTGTTCTCTGCCATGATATTGCTGGATTATGCTAGAAGTGGCATAAGGCCATACTCATTCGCTCAAATTGTCATTATCTACACATCCATCTTCTAAATGCCACTGACCCGTGAAGATCCAGGGTAGAATAGATCTTCAGCAACCCATTCTTGTCATAAAAGGCGACTATGCTCGTCGTAAAAGGCGACTAACAGGATCGGGTAGTCAGGCTCGCTGACTTGGTTGACACATGTCATTGGTTCCCAATTGCGCAGATCGATGCTCCTGCTGTTGATCACTGGATTGTCTGGTCCAGACTCGATTATTTACAGACCGCTGCCATATAGCTGGAATATTGCTGAGTGCGGCGTAAAACTAAACTCACAAACTCACTCACTCACTCCCTCTAAATGCCACTGAATGATATCATGTTTGGCCGTGCTTTACTGTGAGATGTTTATGTTTTAGATTGAGTATTACCAAGGTATATTTCAACACCTGGATCCACGGCTGTACCTGGGACCCAACTGGGATCTCTACATCATTACGCTTCTATCTCTGGTACTTGGACTTCTCATTTTACTGCGACGTGCTAGGTAGCACAGATAGGAAGCAATACATTGGCGCTGATAACTGTAAATTTGCATTTTTGTACATTGTAAATACATGTAAATACTGACATGAAAATGAATTACAGATTTTATTGTTGTACAAGATTTGCTATGTGGAGAGAGATTTTATTTCTTTGTGAAATTAGGTGCACTTTATTCCACATCTTGCTTAATGTGTCCTAAAATATTGCCTTAAATTATTCAGAAAAATATAATCTGATTACAATTTTTCTACACTGTTCTTTTTAAAGTAGAAAGTTACTGTATTTGTTATAGTCAATGAAGGAACATTTATGCTGCAAGTAACCTGAAATATCAAAAGATAACATTCCTAGGAAATTGTAAAGCGAAGACAAACACAGATTGATTTATGGATCGGGCACCTGATCATGCTGGTGATCTACTCATGTTGAGCTTGGGTTATACTATTATTATTGGTTCACTGGTCACGAGGGGGACATGGATTGATGTTTTCTCTGTTTGTTACATAAACAAATATAGAGGGTACATCAACCCATTGGGCTCCAAGGGACCAGTGCACAACATATTTATCTCACCAAATACATGTACCTCAATGTTAATTTTGAACTGTTTGAAGTAGTGGTAGTCCGATTAATTGAAATAATCGAAGATTGGTCGCAGTGACCAAGCAATCGATCATGTTTTGTCATAATCAAACACAAACAATTCTGGAACACCTGTTTTCATTAACAGTATTTTTCACTAGGTTGGTTTTGTCTGTTACATTTCATAAGCACTAAAAGCTCGTTCCATGTCATGACTGAATTTATCTTAAAGACTCTAAGAAATTTATGTTCCTAACATACTAGTCATCCTTTAAAGATGTGAAATTTTGCCCCCAAAACCCAAAAGAACTACATGTTTTTTCCTTATTTTTTTTGCATTAAGAAATTTCATAAATGACGCTAACCAATTATTTTCGATGATTGATCGGTTGGAATGTGAACCAATCATCAATTATGAGATTTTAACCAATTCCCAACACTAGTTTGAAGCATGGGTATTGGATCATATTGAGTACCAGAGTTAGGCAACAACCCAAACACTACTAACACAAAGTACCAAACGAATTCCCACAGTTCGGCATTTCCAGCGGGTAACACTGAAAATGTTACTCGCTTGTAGGCAGGGTACATTGATTGGCTCAGCCAATCAGAACATTGCATTTATGTGTGAGGTGAGATAAACGTGATTGTAGTACCATTTGAAGATTGTAAATATTCGATCTAAGAAGTTGTTTGCCTGTTGGAGTACAGGCAGTGTCCTCTGACTATCACATGCTATTCTTTGATGGGGATTTATTTATTTTATTTAATTTTTGTAGGTTGTATTGTATGTGTAGCTGGGTGTACAAACTAAACAGAAAAAGAGTTACATGTGATGATGAAAAATTGATTTAATGGAGATTTTTTTAATTATGATATGAAAATGATGAGTGAAAAGAGCATAATTATTTATCGAATATTGGCACTGGTATTTGGACAGGTGTCCTTTCTGTTTATGTGTCAGTCATGTTAGAAGGTTTTTGTGTTTTGCTTTTAAGCTGAAAAAATGTAGGTGTATTGAACCACGTGTCTCTGGGCTTTGATCCTGTGTTGGTGCCACATAGTATGTGTATATGTTGATGGATTGGAGACTCCTTGTCATAAGGATAATTGAATGTTACATGGTATTAAGAATTCATTGTTCATTTTCAATACCACTCAGCTTTTGTATACACTTATTTCCTCCCTCTGTCAACTGTGATTACATGTGGCTAATTTGTGGTGTATTGGTGAGTAAGGGTGAGAACCTTCCATTGCGCCACTCCCTGAAATTCTAAAGGTTGCCCAAAACCAATGGATTCCGATACGGCCTGGTTCAAGCAGGGCAGAAAATTTGAATTGAAATAGTGAAACATGAGATTGAAATCATAGTTGAAGTTAAGCAACACTGAGCTGGAGAGTCCTTGGATGGGTGACTGTGTTTGGCAGCTTGACTCCTGAGAGTTTCTAGTACTTCAGTCCTGCCCCACAACGAAGCACATGTGATACATGTGGTCTCACCTTAGGCAAGTGAGTTTGTTCAAAATTGCCTCTGTTCACCCAGCAGAAAATGGGTATCCTCTAGCGCCTCACAAGCAGCTTGGGTTATCCGGGTAATAATAATAATCAGATTGTTAGGGCTACGAGCATTCACCGCGTGAATGGAGTTTAGCGCATTATAAATGCACTTATTATTATCATTATCTGATCTATCCATTGCTTCAGTATCAGGATTCAGACCAGAGGTGCTTGAAATGCCAAAACTAGCATAATGTGTGGGCCTTTATTGTGACTCCTGAAGGTTAAGCTCCATAGAAAATGATCCTATGCATGGTGACAAGACCCCAACAGTCACAATAAAGGCTTATACCTTGATGCTAATTTTTGCTTTCATCGCATCTGTGGTTCAGGCAAGTTTAAATCATGGACGACCGCATTCCTTACCTTAAGACAGACACTTCACTTTTTACTACATAATGGCCATATGTATTCACAGTTGATGAAGAACGTTGTGTATGCTAGCCCATGAGGTATTGACATGCTGAAATGAGATTAGGGAAACAGAACTTTTTGCCTTGCTTGCTTTGTTTCACTCTTCATCATGTCCACCTACCCCCAGCACATCTGTTTAATCACTGTCATGTCTGTCATAATGGAATTTTGTCTGTGAGAGTGTATGGATAAATATGGAGAACTTACAGATGTACCCTCACTGACTGTATGGAAGCTGTAATGTGTGTGCGTGTGTATGATATAAACTGACACAGAATGTGTATTTGGAATGACGTGTCTTGTCTTTTATTGCAATTACGGATCAGGGCCTCCTTTCACAAAGCACTAAGGTGATTGAAAGTCACTAAGGGTCTATTCGATTATGCTAAACCGGTTTTGGTTTCGGGAAAACCATGCACTCGATTATGGCGAAACCTAAAACTGGTCTCTGAAACTTCGAAACCATCTCCGAGGCAGGTTTCGCAGTTTCAGTTTCGCATTCTCTTACAACAAACATGGCGGAAACGAAAGCGCCAAGTTCAGCTGATCATGGTGGCAAAATAGAGCAGCAGTTTTTGGAACCAAAATAATGATAAAAATCAACTGACAACTAGGACTAGTCTATTGAACATGACTATTATATGTAAGTTGTATATATATAATTACTTGTAACGGTATAAGTACATATACGCAAATATTTACCTCCAAAAGCATCTCATATCTTTATTATTTGTTAATTCACTGATGAAATGAAAAACATATGCTGTCATCCAATTCGTTCCACATATACAGTAGCTGAGACATTTATTTGGTATCCATTTTGAAACCGGATGGTCAAACCATCCACTCATTTATAAAACTAGAAACTAGTTTCACTTTGAAACCATGTATCCGAAACTAGACACTCGTTTATAACAGGAGAAACCAGTTTCAAAAACCAAAACCAGTTTCGCAATAATCGAACAGGCCCTAAGGTAACCTTAGTGCAATGTTAAAAAATGGGATTTAAGGTTAACCTTAGTAAAGGTTGCTTCGTGAAAGGAGCCCCTGGTGTTGAAGAACTGGGACTTGGAAGCACACATCACCTAAGTATATTGATTATTGATGGTGTTAATGAGAGACCACTAATGCCTCTTAACACTGAAAAGTGTATTAATTCTGATGCCAGTACATGTAAAAATTATGATTGATGATAACAGGGTGTGGATAGGTGTGCTCAAAGCGTGTGGTATTATTACTGGGTCTAATGAATCTCGGTCTAATCTGTTCCAAATACATTCTCAGCTCCTTGAGAATCCTTGCCCGTGGAGATGTGTGCTAGTATTGATCTCCAGCAACCCATGCTTGTAGTAAGAGGATCTAACGCTATCTGGTGGACCTGCTCGCTGACTTGGTTGACAGGTGTCATCATATCTCAATTGCGCAGATTGAAGCTCATGCTGTTGATCACTGGATTGTGTGGTACAGACCCGATTATTTACAGACCACCGCAAGATAGCAGGAATATTGCTGAGTGGGTCGTTAATCAACAAACAAACAAAACAAACCGTGAAAACCTACAGCCTAAGCTGTGCCTATCTGATACAGCTTAGGCTGTAGGGTTTTCACGGTAGTAATCAATCACATCACTGGTTGTTGGGAGAGGTATTTTGAACATAGTCACTTGGAGAGGGAGGCTAACACGGTTCAGTGTGGGACAAGAGCAGAGGCCAATGATCTCTCGGGAAGGTATCTTATGTGTCAGGCTTATGCCAACACTGACGGATTTGTGACACGTGTCTCTACTGGGTCATACCAGAATACATTAAAAGCCTTACAAAGGTAGTCCTGGTCAGTGTTTAGTTTCCAAATTTTGCAAGCCAGACGGGCTAGCTGTGCCTGACAGTTACTAGCCCACAAAAGTATTCCCTGGCCCGAAATTTGAATGTAGACACGGGTTTCATCATTAAGCTGCTAATATGATGAACATTTTTAGCATGCCATAATCTTGCATGATTTAAAAAAGTGTATTATAACTTAACAAGTCGGAGAAGTGATATACATGTATTTACAATATGACCCCTTGAAAATTCACTAGCCAGTCGGGCCAGTGACTGTGGAGATTTACTGGCCCGACTGGACTTTTACTAGCCACAGGCCAGTGGCTATTTCGAACACTGGTCCTGGTGGTTTCCCTGTCTGGCGCTCGTCATAATTGGTTCTGCCTGCAGTAAAGCAGAATTAACATCAAATCTTCAAGGAACAGACTGAATATTGTCTTACCAGATTTAGCACAATGTAAACAATATCTCAGGGAACGACAGAAATGGCATTCACATATAGTACCAAAATAGGATAAGGCAATATCATATTGGGAACACCTGAAATGGTCTTCACATGTAATACCAATATTGGGGACTGAACTGGTCCTTCAGCCTGAACAGCGAACGCATGAACCGCTAGACTACTGAACGGCCCCTTAAAAAGACATCGGAGTCCTGGAACACCGAGGCCCAGTGGAGTCTTATCTAAGGCTGATGAACAACACGATACAATGGATTCTTATAACGTATTTAATTCACACAAAATCAATAAACAAAGTTTTATGCTTCATTGGAGACAAGGGCAAGCATTGACCTCACAAAACAATATCACTGATGTACAAGGAAACGTTTAGTTACTTTCACTCGTCAGCAAACATGGCCAAATAATTGAGCTGTTTACATGCTCGTTTACCAGTTGTCAGACAGAATTACTTCACAAAGTGGAATGTCGATAATTTGAATCAAGACGTTTGTGCTGGGAAGTTATGGTCTTGCAGTTGTGAATATCATGCGCAAGGCGTTTCTAATCCTGCCAAACGAACCTTTGTTCAGAGAATTTGCTGAATTCCATCTAGTAATGAGTTAACCTGACTTAACAAACTCTCTCGCGATTAAGCGCTATGGAAACTCTTCATACTGTTAACAGTTGTCAGTATTTATAGTTTGTCGATTGGTGTAACGTACTTGATCAGTTGGAAATTTGGATGATCATCTTTGTATAAATTTGTGTTTAATGGACCTTTTTGTCTTTCGTCAACCAGCCAAGGCAAAAAGGCAATGCGTTTTCTCTATTTCATTGAAAACATAAGTGGCAAGGGAGAAACACGTTTTTGTTTTTTCCACATCAAGAATACCAACAAGCACAACAGGACTCATGAAACCCGACTCTTTAACACAATTTCAGTCATTACACTGGCAATAAAAATGACCGGCAGGATTTAAACTGACGTGACGGTGCCTGAGAAGCTTAACGTCTTTTAGCCGTGCCATTGTTCTGAAACCACACATTAGACTAGTGGTGGACTGAGCATGAATATGACGTGGATATGATTACCGGTTACCATTTAGCATTCTTGCACTGGCATCTAATGTTTTATAAGATCTATATGAGCTACGAAAGGATTCTTGTGATTTTTCATAACTGACTGACTGACTGAGTTTGGTTTTACGCCGCTTTTAGCAATATTCCAGCAATATCACGGCGGGGGACACCAGAAATGGGCTTAACACATTCTGCCCATGTGGGGAATCGAACCCGGATCCTCGGCGTGACGAGCCAACGCTTTAACCACTAGGCTACCCCACCGCCCATTTTCATAACTGCAAACACAAATCAACAATACAAGATTGAAGACTGAAGTTATTAATTCTCCAGATATTGATATCGAATTTCCTGAAGATATGAAAATTGCAATTTGTGTAAGAAAAATTGTCAGTCGCATTAAGATAATGCACTCTGTCAGTTTTTTGTGACTTATATCATAACCATAGCATATTTTTGTGTGCAATTTACAGGATGTGCTGCATCACAGAATGAACTTTCAGTATGAGTCAATACGCTATTTCGTTAGTGACATTGTATTAATAAATACTCGAAATACTTCAAGGTGCATCCCAGGAAACCAAAATGTTCTTTTTTGCCCTCATCTCAAGATTGGTAATAACACTAAGTGATGGACCATTATTGTTTTACCCGAAGTTGGTGCTTTCAATATAACTAATGGCAGTTTCTTACCTATCGTATTCCTTCAAACTATCAACCTATTGCTGCTGTTACACGTTACTTCTATTTGAAAAAAATTCCAATGTATTTTCCGAGCTGATATTAAACATTCAAATCCATTAATTCCGTTTACTCCAAAGCTCGAAACTCCGTAAATTTCAAAGCTCCGTTATGTCAAAGGTCTAAACTCGAAAAAGTTCGAATGTCGAAATACGATATTATTGAGATCTTAAAATGTCTACTCTGGAATGTCCGATAATGTGAACTATGTGAGGGGGATAGACACTTTTGATTAAACGATCAAGAAAGTAACTACAAGTATTGACCTATAATTATTCAAGGAAAACCTCTCTTTTACATTTGGTTCGAGGTCTACTTTACCAATAAGCGACAGTCTATTTCATAATCAGGATTTGCTGTCGATTAGAGCTATAACTCTAAATTTCAAACGTAGCCTTGAAATGTTTTATGTTTCAAACTGGTGACAATGATCAATTAATTATTCATATTCTATGTAATTACACTTCGAATTTCATGGCTATTTCGGTATATTTCTGTAAAATATATAAGGAGAAAAAGAACTCAAAGATGCTCATACAGTGTCGCAACTACATAGACATCGCGGAACGTTGTTCTTACAGGCGTAATTAAGCCGCATCAGTAAGCCTTATTGCCTGTACATATCTACATTTACATGATGAGTGTGTGAACTGTACAATACAAATGCGATCAATATGTCAACTACTATATGCCAACATTATGTGAAAATATATTTCCTCACCGGGCAAGGAAGTAATCATACTCCAACAGAAGCACAAACATAACAAAACAGTGATATACATTTCAACATATTATATAATTTGGAATGATATACATCATGGTACATATTTGTCAATCGTTAAATGTGTTATGAATGGTTATCGTGTATTTACGAAGCTGCACATAATAAGATCATCACAATCCTGCTCCTCCTCGTCATCATCACTATCATCATCGTCGTCGTCGTCACCATCATCGTCATCATCATCACTATCATCGTCGTCGTCATCATCATCATCATCACTATCATCGTCGTCGTCACCATCATCATCATCGCCGTCGTCTTTTGCTTGTCAGTTGTGGAGATGGAGACGTATATTTGCACAACTAGACAAGCTAGAGGCTGATACTTCGAGCAACGCCCCTGGACACACGATCAACACAATCAGCGCTTGACCACCCGATCCTATTAAGTTGCCTCGTACACCAACAGTTGCAGGACACTTGTTTTAACCCTGGCTAACACGAGGATCATCAATCTTATATAACTGATGCCATCTAAAAAATAACATCGAGCAAACTACATTTTCAGGAAAATAATCCAGTTCCTTTTAAAACAAAACCCTCTCAGCTCTCAATGTACAAATATAGTTTGCACAGGCGCTGTTGTTATAAATTTGATATTTCATTACAGTACATGTTTGTGAATTTACAACACTCCATTTTAACATGCCTACTTTAAGTATATCACAGACAGACAATATTTACAATTCATATTTCTTTCTTTCCAACCTTAAGCTATATGTGCAATCGTTTTCAGTAGTGATGGCGATAAGAACTGCGAATCTTTATCTCTATCTGACCATAAGTTTAAGCATTTTGAAATTGCTCAGTACCACGTATGAAAAACATGCAAATGTTTATGTTAAGAGGGTACATGACGCACACTTAGAGGATATATAGTATATCAACAGTAGAGCGTGCCATATGTAATACTATCTGAAGGCTGAATGTAACACAACGTAGTACTGCCAGTGCATGTGTTTTGTTTTAAAGAACTTTCATATTCTGTCCTAGAATTAGCGAATGCTTGATTTTTGACGCTCTTAGCAGTATTACGGCAAGGACACAAAAATGGGCTTGGCACAATAGACCCTTTCAGACTCGAACCCGGCGTGAGCTAACACTTTAACCACTAGGCCACATCACAGCCCCTGAATTCGAAGATGGTGACAGTGATGTTGCTGGTCAGTACTGAGGGGAATCAATAAACATCAAACACAAAATACTTCGATTTCAGTGTAAACCTTAATCTTCATGAAAAGTGCTATTTGAGCATTCATTGTTGTATATTTACATCAACAATAATTTAATGATTTGTTTAACATGGTAATAAATCAAGAATTAACGAAACAATTTACGACAAAATCAAGCAACAGGACAATATATTTTTGATTCTGCAAGCGGCTATAAACAATACTCCCAAGGCAATTATGAACCTAACGCATCCAGTTGTAAATTCTTGGTGATCCCAAGTGACTGACTGACTGAGTTTAGTTTTACGCCGCTTTTAGCAATATTCCAGCAATATCACGGCGGGGGACACCAGAAATGGGCTTAACACATTGTGCCCATGTGGGGAATCGAACCCGGGTCTTCGGCGTGACGAGCCAACGCTTTAACCACTAGGCTACCCCACCGCCCCTGATCCCAAGTGAAATCTAAGGGATTCCGTTTAGTCACAGCTCTCAGGATCCAATCATCGTAACACTGTACCTCACTACACCAATTCATACATTCTGAATTGGAATTGAGATGTTATCCAAGCGAAGAACAGTTCCTCTTTTGTTCTGGTATGAGAAATCACATCTTTCCTTCATATTAAATGATCCTTGGAATATATTCAAACCAATCGCCTCCCACAATGAAATTACAAGGCAACGGAAAACAGCACCAGCATGTAGTTGGAACACATCGGATATTTCCGATATCCAAGGTGTATCTCGGAATTCATCGAATTTTGCCGAGTATGATACATCCTTTCGGACGGAATGGCGGATATATGCCTATAGCTTTATAACCGTACACAGTTTCCATTGGATGTTTTGCCGTTTAGGATATAATGTGAGTGTTTCGCCCCTTCACAAGAATGGCCGTTCGAGGGTTTCAAGGTCATTTCGTGTTCTTCCCGTATGGCATTGATCTGATCACGTGATGTAGCGAGTTCTACGTCCGAATCTATAGAATCCGAACACGTATCAATATGTGCATTAAGAAATTCATTAGATCGATATGTCTTTGAACTTCCAGAAGCTATAAGACACGTGTCTGACTGAACATTATCCGTATCAGAGTCGGTGATCTTTTTAGAAACAGGTTCTTTTTTATCTAAGCTTTTCTGATTCTTTTCAGCGTCTTTCTTCTGAACTGGTTCTTTTTTCAAACACTTCAACATTATGTTATAACCAGGTTTATTGTCTTTGGAATACGCCGTCCACGACCGACCAAATCCCGTGGACTTCTTGCCCGATTTATCAAGATTTGGTTTCGTTTCCCTACTCCTCCTGCTCGAAGCGGAACCGCGGCCATGTTGGCTCGCGCCACCACTGCTACTTCCGCCGGAAGAAGCCGCTTCGCTGATATGACAGTCATGCGTGTCTCGAACATCCGTCATGCTTTGTCGTGTGGTTTGAGCATAGCTGTGAGAAGCCGTAGCGTTCATGCTGTCCTGGTAACGGAAGATATGCTTGGAGACACAGCAGCAGAGGAACGTGGCGATGATCTGCTTGAAGCTGCGCCGAAACTTTTTGCTCATGATGCTGTAGATGAAGGGGTTTATGCAGCTGTTGAGGAAGCCGCTGAGATGGGTCATGAGCATCGTGAAGAGGAAGTTGCTCTTGTGGAGGAAGCTGCTGCCGTTGTTGTAGGAGGCCTGGATCTGACTAACGATGCTGACCCAGTACTGAGGCGACCAGGCAACGATGAAAGCAATTGCTATGACAATGACCATCCGGGCAACCTGAAACAACACGAAACAACAATACAGTAAACTACCGTTATATATAAGGAATTCAAAGGGAACTTTACGTTTGTTTATACACAATTCAACGAAAATACACAGCAACTGGCTAAAAAAAGAAAAAAGAAGGAGACCCTTAACAAAATAGTTCCATATATCCGTCAGTTCGTTAAAAGCGAACCCGTGAAGACCCGGGCAAGAATTGATCTTCAGTAAACCATGCTTGTCGTAAGAGGCGACTAACGGGTGGTCAGGCTCGCTGACTTGCTTGACACATGTCATCGTATGTCAATTGCGTAGATCGACGCTTATGTTGTTCATCACTGGATTGTCTGGTCCAGATTCAATTATTTTCAGACCGCCGCCATATAGCTGGAATATTGCTGAATGCGGCGTAAAACTAAACTCACTCACTCGGTAAAGCGTGTTGGTCATAAACCTTACTGTAAGTAAGGATGCTGTTTTGTTGTTTAACACCGTCAGTAATACCACAAAAAAGAATCCATGGATTGAGTGAAGTCAAGTATGTCTAAAAGATCGGATGTCACTGTGAAAGTCACTTTTAAATTCATGATATAACTTATTGCTTAAAATAACGCTTTTGCACAGAGGCGTTTAAGACACCACTAGTCGTTTTGTTGAACATATTTAATGCCGCACTCAGCAATTTTTCAGGTGCATGTATATAATCTATAGTAGTTTGGAGTAGACAATCCAGTTTGTTATTGCTAACAACTATTCACACCGTTTCAATCGATCCTGACCATCCTGTCCACTTGGTAGAAACAGACCGACACTAGATGAAATAGAAGAAAGAGCAAAGAGGTTGTTTTGGACCGCTTTTCCGTCAATATCAAGGTGGGGGACACTAGCCATGGGCTTCACTCAATTCTACATGTGGGGAATCGAACCCGGGCCTTCGGCGTGATAACGAACGCTTTAATTCTAGGGTACCCTATTGCACAAAGAAGAAAGAATTTGACTGATTTATTTTTGTTTAATGAAGCACCTAGCAATATTCTAGCTACAGAGGGGCGGTCTGTATATAATCGAGTCTTGACCAGACAATCCAGTGATTAACATTGTCAGGTGAAAACGGCGTGTAAACTATTTCAACAGAGTGTACAGACATGTTCCTCGTGAAGACTTAGTTAGCGTTTGTTTCTTGTAAAGACTTTCTCTTCAGTAAAATGTTCGCAGTTGTCAGTGGAGGGACTATGTACGTTATCAACCTACAGCGACGAGTCATAATTATCGAAACGGGGTTTCTGTTGCTGTGTAATTAAAATAGTGAGCTGTTAAATGGATTTGAGTATTACTAAGCATTTACAAGGTGCTCTTCAATGGACGTGAAGCAAAACATCACTGAGTGTCAAATGACCCCTGAGCAGGATAAGTGATCTGCAGGAAAACGAAGATGAATACAAGCGCCCATAAAATATAACAGTTTGGAACATACAAGGCGGTAGGCACATTTTTGTCGGACCAACACTCTGTAATACAAGTACTGAATATAAATGAAACCTACTTACATTCGCATCTCATCCTGAATTATAATCCAGTAATTTCAGTCGATTAGTCAGATATAATTCTTAATGATCAACCGGAATAACTTCTTTGAGTTGCCTGAGTTTCTAGAATCCCGAGTGCGGGGGTCATACACAATAAAAGGGTTTAACACAATGTGAAAATTGAAATAAGTAGTTGTCAACATGCCGTGTTCGGTCTTGCAAATAGAAACAAAATGCCCGAAAAAAAACCCTAGGCCCTACCTTTCGTGACAAGTTACAAACTACATGTTAAAAATTGATCAAACAAAATAACTGTCCATTTTGATCTAAATAACCAAATGATGAAAGGCCGAACTCAGATGCTGTTATCAACTGAAATATACCGTCTTAGTGTAGTGATAACAGTGCTCCTAGGGCAGACATACTGTGGTAAAGATCTGAGCAAACCGAGCCACACCATCTGGACATTAAGTCGAACTAATCACATTCATCACGACAGCGGACTGGTCACATCAGCTGTGCACCCATACATTATATACGCTCTGGCCAAATTAGGTTTGTTTGTTAGTCGTTTAACGCCGCACCCAGGAATAAACCAGTTACGGCAGTCTATAAATAATCGAGTCTGGACCAGACAGTCCAGAGATTGACATCATGAGCACTGATCGATGCAGTTGGGATACCAAGTCAGCGAGCCTTACAACCCAATGCCGTTAGTTGCCTCGACTAGGCGACAAACATGGGTTGCTGAAGATCAATTCTGACCGGATCTTCACGGGTCATTCTCATACGACAGGCGTGTGTTGCTGAACATAATTTCTAAGCATTTCGAGTAGAGCAAATTAGCGTGTGTAAGGACAACCTATGGTTAAAGTTATCACTCCTACTCGACGTATTCCCTGTGGATACAGGGGCGATGGGCTAGCCTACTGCTTAAAGCGTTCGCTTGTCACACCGTGGACCAGACCCTTTTCCCCACGGCGGCCCATGTATCGATGCATCGATGCGTATCGATGAATCGTCACACCACTACTGAAGACACGAAAGAGTTTTCATCTTTCAAAGCGACGTGAAACAACTATGGAGGCCTGTCACCATCATGACACGAAACCAGTAATCCGAAGCGCTTAAACTGGCTCTGCCCGAAAATGTTCCTGCGGATTCCGGCCGCCACTTTGCCCAGATTCAGCCCATTATGTCAATGTAATTAGTGTAATCATGAGAGACTGATGTACAATTTGAAGTAGAGGACAGACGTGCTGTGCTGGAAGGATTTGAATCTAACGTGATGGGACTGGCAATTTTCCAGAGCTTAAGGCGCCTTTAAGTGGCAAAAGACGACCTCGTCCCATTTGGCTCTCGGCAGACAGTGATTTTGGAAGCTGTTAAATGTGGTTTTAAACTTATACCTACATTTTGTCCTCGTACTTATATTATCAATCATGTGAATTAAGGAATCAAAACGGCTCCGAACTGCCTCGTGATCGACGACTCACATATCCCTATTTTGAACCAATCCCGCATTAATCGTAACCCCTGTTTCAGCAGTACAGAATCATGATGCATTATTAATGTTTATGGAGACGTTGCTGGGTCGAATTACTAAGAGCTTTTGTATTCATGTCTGTGATTTTAAAGACATATTGTTCTTTAACGGCGACGAAAACCATTTCGATAATCCTTCGAAATCTCAGTCTAAAGCAAATTCCATTCTAAGATTCCGAAAGTATCATAACATATGTTTTGAATCACCATCAGCCAGGGATGACAACGAATTCTAGCAAAACGTTCGATCACATTGGGATCCACTCGGCTTTTCCCGACTTCCTCCGTAACGCCTCGGGCGTAGTGCATCATGTCACTGTTAACCGCATACTAAATCTTCCCCTAGGACGTAGCTCTTTCAGACATAAGTAAACTATATAATTATGTTGATTTGGTGTAATACTATTGTTAATTGTGTTAATCGGCACGATAGTCACGATATATCGATAGTTAACTCGTTAATTCAATTTCAGTTTGCCTTCCCCCTAATGTTAACCGACATAACCTTGGCATTAAGCTAAGCCGAAATGTTACCAGAGATGACTTAGGGATTGAACTAAATCGAAATTGACATGATATCCGGTTCCAAAATGGATACCTCAAAATGTTAGCAAAATAATCTACAAGACTGAGTTCACCCGAAATCCGGTTCCATTGGGGTTTTCTCCCAATGAAAGCAGAGATAACCCAGAGATTGCGTTAAACCCAAGACTGGTTCCAAAATAGATTACCTCAAAATGGTAGAAGAAACAATCTATGGGATTTACTTGAACTTCAAATCAAGATCCAATATGGATACCACCAAATATTGACAGAGATGACCTTGGGATTGAGGTGAGTTGAGTTGGCTGATAAACTGTTTTGTACCCAAACTGCACAAACACACTACAAAGAAGTATTGATAGATAACGTTTTCTGTGTAAACTCTTCGAAAACTTCTTGAGCCACTAATTATCAATAATCACTTCACTTTTATAAAAAAAGATGCCATCCCGTGAGTGAGTGAGCTTGGTTTTACGCCGCTTTTAGCAATATTCCAGCAATATCAAGGGAGGGACACCAGAAATGGGCTTCACAGAAAAGGATTCTTCTGTGATGTGATTTGTTTCGTGGAAAGATGTCAATCCTAAGTTCGGCTTTTAATTTGAAAACCTCATTTTCCCCTTGCAATCACATTTAATGGTTGTACAACATCTAATTAGTCATGAAAGCTTTTATGGCTGTAATTTTGTCTAAAAACATACATAGTAATCAACAAGTATCAAGTTTCAGTAGACACCGAGATGGAAATAAATGGATTTTTTTAGTTTAATTTGGTTTCACATCAGAATCGAGTCAAAAGGAACATCATTACTGCAACAGAAAGTCAGTTGGGTCCATTTTCTTTTCTTTTGGCCGGAAGGTGAAATGACGTAGCTTTCGATTTAAGCACAGATTCCCAGTGAGGTTCGTGTCGGCATGATACGTGTTAGATGTACTGGCGGTAGTGAGTGAGTGAGTTTAGTTTTACGCCGCTTTAAGCAATATTCCAGCAATATCACGGCGGGGGACACCAGAATGGGCTTCACATATTGTACCCATGTGGGAATCGAACCCAACGAGCGAACGCTTTAACCACAAGGCTACCTCACCGTATAAAGTGTATTGAACCAATGTTTATCAGGGCTGGTATTTATAGCATTGTATAAAGTTACAACATCAACGCCAGCTGTCCTTTGTTTAATGTTCGTCGCATTTCTTTTTTGACGTCCATGTTGCAGTTGTATTTTTTCATTGAAAAGTAGCAAGAGAGCTTAAGCAAAATATAGACCTGTCTCCAGTTACCTGTTATGTCCGTTTTGATCACATGGGATAACTATTTGAGTGTGAAAACAGTCATGGATCTTTTTAATAATTTCAGTTTCATTTAATTATTGGGCGGTGGGATACACCAGTGGTTAAAGCGTTCGCTCGTCACGCCGAAGACCCGGGTTCGATTCCCCACATGGGTACAATGTGTGAAGCCCATTTCTGGTGTCCCCCGCCGTGATGTTGCTGGAATATTGCTAAAAGCGGTCCAAAACTACGTCTTTGCTCTTTCTTCTACTTCACCTAGTGTCGGTCTGTTTCTACCAAGTGGACAGGATTACACCATTTAATTATTGTTTTTTAAAGGAATAAAATTGCTTGAAATATTTGTTTACAAACATGTTTTGGAAATAGATCAATAGCACCATCGATAACGGCTGAAGTGATGGTTTGAATCCAGCTTGGGTCCACGGAGGAAGCAAACGTACCATAAGTCTCCATGGTCCTTAATATCTACCTTTAGTTCGCGAACTATAGCATGTTCTGTATTGCATTGTCTATAGTTGTTTTTTTATTTAAATGCCAGTTCTACACCTATATCAATGATATTCTAGTTGTTTTTACTGTAACACGTCCACCGGTTTATATATTCCGAGTTTATGTGTCATAATACATAACTTTTGTAATCATGATATGGCTGAAATACTGTCAATGTGTCTCACAGTGTCCTGACAGTGCGAGTTATCCACAACCAACTTAATTAGGTTCCCATCATGCGTGCCATAACTATGCTCTTGAAACTAATATTTTCAGGTACAAAGTGCAATAATGCTATCTGTTTCCTTCGTTCCCTATTGATCTAGCCATTTTAGATACAATTAGACTTCTTTAGAGTGAGTGAGTTTAGTTTTACGCCGCACTCAGCAATATTCCAGCTATATGGCGGCGGTCTGTAAATAATCGAGTCTGGACCAGACAATCCAGTGATCAACAACATGAGCATCGATCTACGCAATGGGGAACCGATGACATATGTCAACCAAGTCAGCGAGCCTGACCACCCGATCCCGTTAGTCTCCTCTTCCGACAAGCATGGGTTGCTGAAGATCAATATTCTAGCCCGAGGTTCTTTAGAAGCCCACAATATGTATTAATAATCTATATAATAATGTAGATCGCTCGTCCGGAAATAACTTATGTCTAACGTGTAGACGTATAATCAGTGTGTTCTTCCTGTGGTCAGCGTTGCCACGCTGCAATTATTCTGACTGACTCCTTCACATTCAGTGACACTGACAATCAAAATTATCTTCTTCCAGTTTCGATGCTTCAGATTATAACGTCTGGCTGTCATTTACCTGTACTTGTGTTATCTATCACTCTCACCTGATGATAATGGTCATTGTGACGTCTGTCAGGATACAGACAGCTTGTCATTAGCATCTGTGGTATGTCAGATGAAAAGTATTGTCAACATATAATGGCTTTTAGCCAATGGTTACCTTCCGTTTATTCTCTTCGTGCCTGCGCCGTGCGTCCTTCCGGCCCAGCTGGGGAGACCGTTTGATGCAGATTGGTTGAAGCAGGCAAATGGCGATCATGATGCAGGTTACCAGAATCGTTATCATCGGGATGAGATAAATAGCGAGGAAGAGGAAAATGAAGAAGCCCTGTCGGAACCTGCCCGTCCCCCACGCTTCCTCTCCATACATAGCGACGTCAATGTCGTCGAAGCGGTCAACACATATCTGTCTGGAGATTTGACCGAGGCGGCTTCCAATGGCGAAGGCGTAGCTGCGACAATAGAGGTACGGAGATGCTAGCACAATGGGGATAAGCCAAGTGGCAGCAATAATTTTCCGGGTTCGTGACTTGCTGTTGATCTTCATGGCGGACAAAGGATGCACGATAGCGTAATACCTGGAAATAAAGGAAATGGATTAGAATGGGTCATTTCATCCCGGAGATACTAGAGCGTTCCCGGAGATTACTTATCAGAAAATGTCATGCGCACTTTAAGTTGTCTCTATTTCTGATACGTCTGAATGTCTTTATTTCCCTCATCCCGTTCAAGATATCGTGGAAGCAAATAACCTCTGTTGAGGTTAACTTTTGAATTAAAAGCTTACAGAAGAAGGTTAAAGTCTCTACATATCTGCAGCTAGATATCCGTTCACTTTCCCTGTTTCTTCTGGTGGGCTGAAGTCTGCGAGTTTTATCATGAGCTTTATTTATTTATCACTCCAGTCAGCTACAAATAACCAACTTTTTTTCCGAGACAAATATCCTTTCTTCCCAAAATTCATTGACATACATATTTAACCCTAACTTTACACGATCCTTGATATCCATCAGCGTTTACTACATATTCTTCCCAATGATCTCTCCTCATAAATGGATAATATTAGTAACTGGTGATCACGACAGGTCTTGCTTACACAATTTATACACAGGGCCAGGTCAAGTGGCCAGGTCAAAAAAGGTAGTTTAATTTTGTTATGAGCGAATTTCGTTCAAACGTAGTTTCTGGTACATCCTTTATGTAAATCCGATACACAATTCTAACAATGTATACTGTGTCAGCTATACGTGAGTGAGTGAGTTTAGTTTTACGCCGCACTCAGCAATATTCCAGCGGTCTGTAAATAATCGAGTCTGACAATCCAGTGATCAATATCAGGAGCATCGATCTACGCAATTGGGATACGATGACACGTGTGAACCAAGTCAGCGAGCCTGACCACCCGATCTCGTCAGTCGCCTCTTACGACAAGCATGGGTTACTGAAGATCAATTCTAACCCGGATCTTCACGGGTCAGCTGTACATAAGATATTGTTCACTCCGCAAGAAATACGTTAACAGTCTTCTCTACGGTGTCTGTTTATGTCTTATGTTGGTTGTGGTTAATAATCTACTACAATCATCTTAAAGGTGCTATAAATACGTTTCCCGTTGATTACTTTACAAAACAGAAAAAGGTCCAAAAAATCTTGCGACAAAGATTGATTCTCATAAAATAAGACACCTTGACTTTTGAAAATGTCAGTTTAAATACAATATCATTGATACCTTACGTTCAAAATATGCTCGATTATTGTCACATCCCCGTGCTACCATAAGATTTCCACACTGTTTGTACAGACCGAAACGTCCGTAAGGCCCTGGCTGAAATCCATTACGTAATCTTTACATATTTGCAAGGAACCAGTTTTAAATTGATTACATTAATAACAACGAATTCTTCCACTTTCGTTATTGTCAATAAAATGCATTAGCGAATGGTCTGTATCTGATCAACTGCCCCAAACACGTTCAGTAGAAGTATGAGATGGTAGTGTGGCACAAACATTATTTACCGGTTTCCAAACATGACGCCAAAGGTTACAACATACGAAGCATGAGCAAATTGTCAATTATACTCATACTTGAAATATGCTACACACATTGATTGCTACACACACGCCTTTATTGCCGTATGGTTATTAATAGAAACAGTGAACGCAGGAACGTACGGATCAATGCTTTATAATTGGTTGTAAACTGAAGTCCCTTCTTATGAACAGCAGTAGAGACCTTCGCTTTGCTCTCAACACTTCCACATAACGATTGGACAAGCCACTGTCAACATGCTCAGGTTCATCAAAGAGCATGAAACGAACAGTACGATAAAGATATTTCATCGTGGACGTATATTTGTAAGATCGGGTAAGTTCAAATCTATAGATTTGATCGAACCTGGTATACTGTTCTTCAGAACATTATATTTCTGTTTCGTTTGTAGCATTTATTCGGATTAGTATTATATTTGTAACATGATTGCCATTGTACTCCATATTTTCCAATCTGAACTTGCTATTTTATTAATATTCTGATCAATTTCTCAAACAAATTGTCCACGTGAAAAACGAAATTGATTTTCCTTTCACGATTTTGGCGATTTAATATGAAGAACTTCAATTAAAACTGTACGTATGATTTTAAGCACACAACAAAGTTCAACAGAGAACACAGCACTTCCACAAGCCACTAATGACGTGTTTGATTGGCTGAAACCAATATTTGTTGGCAATGGGAATAAAGACTACAAGTTTGACTTGAGAATAAAAGATTTCTCTATTTTACAATCTACAAGGAGTAATTGATGATATTTTGTTCCATATTGTTTTTGTTCAAAACATTGACTCAGAGAAACCATTAGTACCTATGCACCATGGGTATATATTTGTTAAGCCTTACAGCGTAGAAGATGTTCAATAGAAAGTGCTTCAAGTATTGCGAGACCTATGTGCTTAACGCCTGATTAATTGTAATTCTACGTATTAATGATGCATATGCATCTTGAAGGAAATGATTGGTATATACAGTTCACATCTTACGCATATACAGATCAGGAAAGTTGTTCTACAGGACCGTAGTGGTAGGCAACCATAGTTTGATCGTAGTGCCATGATACCACGGTGTACTACGGTCAACACAACGGTGCAGTAGGGTCAGGTATGGTCTACCAGGGAGAACTAGGGTCAACCACGTTCAAACTACGGTAACAGTAGGGTCTTGGCATTCAAGCTAATACTAGGGTTACACTATGTTCCTGGCGGCCACGGCAGCCTCGTTTCCTCGAAACGTAGTGCGCTGTGGGGTTTTGGCCATTTTTTCCCCTCCAAAGTCAACTCCTGCTAAGTTTTCTCACGGTCTATCACGGTGTCCGCGTAGGGCCGTTGGAAAAACGGGCTGCTGAGTCCCGGAAGCTCAAAGGCGCACTAGGGTTCGTCCCGCAGTCCACTACGGATGCCATTACGTTTCCTCCCGGTCTGTCGCGTTCTGATAGGCTCCCTAACCTTTCTCACGTTTTGATCAAGGTTTTGACACGTTTTGCGCTTTTTGTCAAGACTTTCTACGGATGAAACGTGGACGCAGGCCATTTTAGGAGCACGGTTGTGCACACGGTATAAAAATAACCACTAGATTGTCTGGTCCAGACTTGATTGTTTTCAGCTCGCCGCCTAGTCTGTCGTACAGACCCTGAAGCAAATATATCCAAGAAAGCCCACGAAAGTCTAGAAAATGTGGCAAGTCTAGATTTCCTCAGCTTCTGAAAATGAAGAAAGTCTCAGGGCTCCTTTTCATTATATATATATGTTTTTTTACTATGAACTTTTTTCAGTAAAATATGTTCATTTCAGAGACTAGTTGTTAGTGTACTCACCGCCATATAGCTGGAATATTGCTGAGTGTGGCGTTAAACAACAAACATACACTTCTCCATGTCGTTGAGCGGTAACATCTGCCATGAACAGCTATATCATCATGCCCCAAAACGGCGGTGGGGTAGCCCAGTGGTTAAAGCGTTCGCTCGTCACGCCGAACAGCCGGGTTCGATTCCCCGCATGGGTACAATGTGTGAGGCCCATGTTCGGTGTCCCACGCTGTGATATTGCTGGAACACTGCTAAAAGCGGCTTAAAAACTAAACTCGCTCACTCATGCCCATAATTGCATTCGCCCCTAAGACAGATTTTTCTCAGGACGACAATAGTTATAAGCATGGGCATGTATAGACTACCATGTGTATCTAGGTCCTAATGCAATTATTTTTCCTAACACCATGACCTGTGTAAACCACTTTACCGTTACTGACAACATGGCATACAAGTCAGACCTTCAACCAGTCACACATCCTTTACATCCATAATTAATCCACATAAACTTCCCTCGTGGATCTCAAAGGTCACCAACTAAAGTTGCTTTTAAATAAAGCAATTACCGACTCTAATGAGAAAACCGCAGGGTTTCCAATGTCATTAATACTTATTTCCCCTCTCTCGTGGCCGGCCATTACTCGTTCTATAACATAGGCTATATGATCTCATTCCGACAACCTAAGGCGGACGAGATGCCAAGGGCATTTCAACTGCATGTATCACTGCTGAATGCTTGCCCAACGTGCTTGTACTTTCCACGTCAAAGGAAGGGGAAAATATACTTATGATTATTAGTTTACATCAATGTTATATGGAGATAAAGATGACTAAAGATAGTTATTATTAACTTCAGCCCAAACACGGCTAGCCTTGAGGAAGGTTATTGCAATCAAGCCACGTGGATGTATCTTTCTGGGATGCAAGTTTTTCTGTTCACAGCATGATTAAGCATCCATGTCATAAGGGCATAGCATCTTGCGGCTCTGTTAAAGGATACCCTCCGTAGGTGTGTTATTTGTGTGAAACTTTTTTACATGGATGCGCATATTGGCTGATCAAGGACACATTTCGGCCTCCGGGTCTTGACATTAGATAGAAGTCATCTGCATTAGATACAGACTACTTCCGTTAGACTTTGCAGACAGAAGATCAATTTGTAATAGCTGCAGGGAATTTCACTAGTAGTGTCTGATCTCCTTATGTGGTCGAGCCGTGAAGATCCGAGTTAGAATGGGTCTTCGAAAACTCATGCCTGTCGTAAGAGGATCTGGTGGTCAGGCTCGCTGACTTGGTAAACACGTCATCGTATCCCAATTGCGGAGATCGATGCTCATGTTGTTGATCCTTGGATTGTGTGATGAAGACTCGAATATTTACAGACAGATTGCTGAGTGCGGCGTAAAAGTAAACTCACTCACTGACGTATAGCTGACATAGTATACATAGTTAGAACTGTGTTTCGGATTGACATAGGGATGTACAAGAAACTACGTTTGATCCAAATTCGCTCATAACAAACTTAAACTAATGTCAAACAAGTATAAGTTGGACCGGCGCAGAGAATTATTTACAAACGTCCACCGAATAGCTGGAATATTTTGCTTAGTGTGGCGTTAAACACCAACCAACCTTACGTAGCCGTACAGATGGTTCGCACAGTGACAGATCCAGGATAGCAATCCATGCTTGCCCAAAAATATTCTCCAACGATCAAGTAT